CGTGTCGTTTTTAATTAGGAATTTACTAGACTTCATGGATTTGTTGGAGCCCTCTTGTGGATGGGGGCATTTGGGCACTCACCCAGACTGTCCATATGGGAGGTAGGGGTGACTAACAGCCTGTTAATGAGCGCAACAAACACTGAAACTACAAAAACAACAACAAAGAAAGTGCTGTGCGGATTCACACCATATGTTGCAGCTCAATTTTAAGGCAAAAACGACTGAAATGCTTGTCTATATGCATCTGATGGTCATTCATACTCACCTCGACGTAATGGTGACACCGCAGGGAAAGCTAGAAGGTTGTACAGTTAACTCCAGGCTGATTATGATGCAAAACCATACAACCAACTACCTCAGCCTGCAGCGCACTGACTCCTGGTTCGATTTCTATATACTCACAGTTAGATGTCAATATATTTCATGCAAAATGTCTTCCCCTACTGGACAACTGATGCAAAGCAAACACATCATCCACTTTGGAAATGATAATACTGTCAAGTAGACCTACTTACCAAAGATTTTTGCTCATTCAGAAAACACTGACACAAAAAAATCAAACATAAATACTCCTATAAAAATAATTACATAAAAATGTAAATCAATAAATGAGCAAATAAAAAATATTGGATAAAAGGTTCTTTCAGATGTCTGACTGACCTATAGGTTAATTTACCTAACTTTACTCACCATCATGCTCCAAACCCAAAATCCGAACTCGTAAGACTTTCATTCGTCTTCGAAACAAAAATGGTTTCGGTTTCATTAAAAATATCTTCACTTGTGTTTTGAAGATGAAAAAGTCTTACAGGTTTGGAACAACATGAGGTCAATAGGTTGATGACAGGACTACCCCTTTAAGGAGTGCACTATGGGATCTATCCTTTTCTTATCTCTAGACATACACATCTTTATTCTTTTCAAAGCGGCCACAGCCTTAAAATCTGGAAAACCTGCATTTAATTCTACAGTGTTTTTGTGAACACAGAGTATTATGTCGAAGACATGATTGATTTCTTGACTATTATTTATTACAAATTTATTCATAATTGTGTTTTTACTATTCAAATTCTTACATTCATTATGTGTGTGTGATGAATCCTTGAATGAAGCTGAGAGCAATTCAAATTATGCAGATAAAATACCTTCTAAGAGAAGGAACGGTATTTAAAACACAATTCAAGAGACTGACATGAAGCTTTTCATGTAGAGAAAAAATAATCAGGATGGATCAAGCCATCCAATAGTGCTGTTGTTCAAAGTCTTACTTATTGTACTACCGAAAAGAAAGTCAGATTTGGGGCGTTTGAAGTACAGTACTTGGAAATTGCACATGCTTAGCGAAGTGAAATCAATCAATTTCGTATATGCAGTTCAAACAAGATAAAGACCCCTCATCCGTTTCATTTTGAACTTTTGTCTGAAATCCTGGAAAATGAATCCAGCCTGTGGATAAGTCTATATTTGCTTATCTCTAGAATGAAAAATCTCTCATTTCCAACCAAAAAAAGCTAGTTTATCTGCAAACAACTACCAGAAACTTGGCACCAGATTTGAATTAAGTTATAGTTTACCAAAAAATGAAAAAAAGGCATTGTTTACTCACCCGCATGTGGTTCCAAAACCCTTATGAATGACATTCATTCTGCGCAAAACAAAAGGAGAAATGTTCTGATTTACATTCAATTATTATGAAAGAGGATTTAAAATTCAATAAAAGCACCACTCAATCATAGATGAATGACTCGTGCACTATATTCCAGTTGACAACAGTGTATTTACAACACTTCAATGAACATCTTAAAATCCCCCTAGAAGTAGCAAGTTGTAACGGCCTCGTTCCGTTTTGGTTTCATTTTAATTCAATTCCTGTTTGCCAGTGTTCCCTGTTATTATTAGGGTGTGTCTCAATCAGCTATGCAATATTGCAATGTTGAGAAAACATTGTTAAAAGTTAAATGATTTCTGTAAATCCAGTGATCAAATCCATAGTGGGTCACAGTTTTCAGTGATAGACATGTGAGTAGTCACATGGTCTGTGTGCGCAATCCCAAAAACCTGGAAGAGCTTCAAAACGTATATAAGCAGTAGGCTTTTTTTAGGCCCCGTCCACACTACTGCGTTTTCATTCAAAAACGGAGACCTTTTGCCACGTTTGCACCTCCTGTCCAGACTAAAACGGAAAAAAAACGAGCTGAACGACCTAAAAACACTGCGTTTAGACACACTGCAGCTTCGTTTTGCGTTTTAAATCTCCGGAGAGCGTTTTAGTGTAGACGGAACAAAACGGAGGAGTTTAGAAGCGATGACGCAAAGGCTGACGCTCGGCTTTATGATTGGGTGTCATCAGTCATGACGTATCCTTCCCTGATTCGTTAGCCACTGTTTACACCGGCATGCGCATGCCCAGTGTTGGTGAATTGTCATGTGATCCACGTTTTCAGTCGTTTTAATGTGGACGGACATAAATTCTACAGATAAAACGCTGGTGTGGACAAAGATCGTATTCGTTTTAATTCTCCGTTTTTAAACGAAAACGCAGTAGTGTGGATGGGGCCTTAGTAAGGAAAATTTCAATATAACAAATAAGCAGAATCACTGAATTATGACTAACCGACTGCCATTGTGAGAATAACATGCAATCATGTAATTCAAAGAAAAGTAACACAATATTTAAAATTGTAATCTAATTACAAGTATTTAATTTTTGTAATCGGATTACGTCATCCAGATAACATGTAATCAGTTACTACCCAGCCCTCTCCATCTGTCCCATCTCAGTGACCTTTTATGATGGTTTACGCATGCACAGTAAGGTGAATTTAGCATTTTCTAACATTTCAGTGTAAATGAGAAAATTCGTGTAAACGTGCGTTGAGGAGAAAACACAGTTTTCAAATGTCTCCGAATTAAGTTATCAAAAGACTTTCTGAATTTCATTCTGAGTTGCGTATGTATCATGTGCAATACGTTCTTTTGTTTCTTCTCAATGAAAGTTAACCTGGTTCACAAAACAAGACTGAATGATTTGCTTGGGAATCAAACTGATGCGGTTCTTGAGTTCAAATCACTCATGATACGTTTCGCATCAGTTAATAGCTCACCACAGGGGAAAATAATCAGATTATTGTGATTTTTTTTTTATTGCGACGAAACGGTTAACAGTCACACTGTTCCCAGACAACTGCAGACACATATGTTGGACAGCTCTGTTCCTCTGACAATGACAGAGATCTCCAGGGTGAGACATGAATGCGGTCCAAACATTAACTGAGCGGTCTTTTCAGGTCCTTTCTCATTCTCTGTCCTTTTCACAGCCAAACGCATTAATTTTTTAGACGCAAACTAAACTAAAAAGCTTGACAGTTGATAGCCTGTCAACATAGTTGGCCTATAGATTTGTGCCTTCTGCTACTAATGCTGCTGTTGGTCACTTATGAGGCTTAATATCCTTTAAGACTTTTGTCCTTCTCTTTCTGGCACAGCTCCACCCTATCTTCCTCCCTTTTTCTTTTTCTTTCTCTCACTGCCACATTCACAGTCCAATCACGTGCGAATGCGGCACGGTGGTGCCAGTGCCAGCTTTTTGCCAACCTGAATGTGTGTGTATGTGTGTGTGTCTTTGCCAGCACGAATCACTGGGACATAAGGTCAAAACACACTTATCATGATCTTAATTATCAGACCACAAAGCAATGAAGCAGAAAATCTTTAGGAGTTTTAAAGTGTTTTCAGTTTTAAATGAATTTAAAAATATAAGATTTAATTTGAATTTTTGATTAAAAAAAAAGTGGCATTGAGAAGGATTATTTTTGAATTTGTATTAAAAAAAAAAGCACAACATGAAAAAATTAAACGTTTATCACATACATTTAAGTTAAATTTAGGGCCAGTTCACAAAAGTCTTTCTGATTCCCTCTATCTCTCTCTCTTTTACTCAAAAGAGGGTTTTTTTTTTCAATCAGTCTTTATCTTCTGTCCAACCTCATCCAAACTCTCTTTCTCCCCAAAAGCCTGAGTGTGTTTGTCTGCCGATACCTTATTCAAAATGCCAGGGAATGGCAAGTTGCTATGGGAACTCGCTGCTTGGCAACTTGCTGGGTTGGCGACGTGCCCATCGGTTGCCAGGGCAGTGTTGTCAGTGGCAGCAAAGTGCCATGCCAGCTGTGTGCGACTGGATGTGTATCTATATTTTGTTCATTTTGTTTTAGTCTATACGTATAAATTATATGTACTATGCATTTACGATGGCTATGTGATTAAAAATGATGCAGAAAAACGTATTCGTAAAATTCATAACTAGACGAGAACACCACACCACATCGAAAGTGGAAATGCTGTACATCTTTGTACAGCATGCGGTGAATCTCACGAAAACCACGTCAAAAAAGTGTTCAGTTCATAATTAAGACATAGCAATCAACCGAAAAAATAAGAAAGGTTTTTTTTCCCTTATAGAAATATAAGTATTATATTATCATAAAAAATAATGTTAAAAAATCACTCTCATCATGTAGATTTTTTTTTTACTTCAATTGTTAAGAATTTATAAACCATTTTAGTATTTGTGGTACAGTCTATAATTTATGCAATGCAAATTTTTCTATTGCAGCACAGTGTTAAGAATAATAAAAATTTATCACAAATGGGAATTTTATTTAATTTTTAAAAGTAAAACATCAAACGATTTTAGGAGAAGGATGGCTTAAATTAATGAAAATATGAACAAAAAAATATGCATCATTTTATTTATGCAAAATATAACTTTTTCCCCTCTGATTTTTGATGAAATATGTCCATGTTTTTACAAGATTTTTCTCTAACATTTAAATCATTAGCTCTAAACATCAAAGAAACGTTTGAGATTCCCTTCAGTCACAATGTATGACAGCGAGATTAAAACATAAAAGCAAAGAAAGAGAAAGATGGTCATTTTCATTATTACCGTATGCTGCAATTCCTTCTGTCGTTCCAGTCTTGGAGAAACATTCTAAACTGCAGTTCGAAAGCATTCCTGCCATCAGAAAAGACATTAAATATTGATAAATATCTGTATAGAAAGATTTACAGGATAAGGTCATGGCAATTTATTTATTTACACAAAACATTTATCATGCCTCAACAAGATTAACCTCCCAAAAAGGCAATAAAATGCAAGTGAAAAAGGATCTACAGTATCTATCTAAAGTGTTAGACAACTGTGGACGTTATGCAGCAGGATTTACTTATTAGATGGTATTATCAGCGAACACTGTCAGGTAACATTTTCCATTGTATATAAGTGGTCCTCAACTAATGTAGAGAGGCATAATCGGCAAGCAGAAATTTAAATGGAGGTCCACATGTTGATGAAAAAGTATGTAGGTTAAGAGCGTACTTATATTGAATGAATAAAAACGTCCATGACACATAATTAATATACATTCTTAAGGCCCATTCACACCAAGAACGATAACTATAAAGATAACTATATTAGCATCCACACCAGGGGATGATATCATTCGGTTTACTCTAAGCACAGTCTATCGCTTTAAATGGTTGAGCTTGTTACAGCAGGATTGATTCGGATTGGCTGGTTTTATTGTTCATCAGCTGGATAAAATCATTCTGAAAGTAATTCCAAAGATAGCGGGCAAAGATAATATTGATATTGAGTAATATCGAGAAATGTTTTTAGAACTATACCTATTTTTATTGTTATCTTTATGGTTATAATCCTTGGAGTGAATGGGTCTTTACACTGAACAATACAAGCAAATAAAGACTAGAAATGATAGGAAAGAATGCAGATGACAACTATAACCAATAAAAAAATCTTGACTTATTCATTAAGCCTCACAGAAAAATACCAAATGAATATCTGCAATTCAATTCTAGTTGCAAAGTACCTTTCTCAACGCATTCAGAACGCATTCAAAGCAGCTTTACAAAGAATCGCCACAGTGAGCAAGCCAAAGGTGACAGTGACAAGGATAAACTCTTTAAGCTGTTCCAGATGTATGTAGAGAAAAGGGAATGTACAGAAGAGGAATTTGAAGTGTTTTTCATACTATTTCTACCTTGAAAATATTCTAAACTCTTCAAAGCACTATTGGACTATAAGTGATGTGGTGGTCATGACCAGTTTTTACATATAAAAATATATATATATTTTTTTATGAATTTCATGTGATAGAATAAGGCTAGATAATATAATGAATTATACCTATTATAACTGAATCTTTAAACTTTAATAGTTTTTTAATTTAACAGATTGAACATGTTCTCCATTCAATTATTTGAGCCTCAGGTATTTGCACCATGGCACTTTGATGAACATCATGGTACTAAATACCATATACAATGCTAGCCTATTTAAATGGTAGTCAAAGTACTTCAACATTTCTGTGGCATAAAATAATACAATAAAAATAAATATAAAAAAAAGATGAAACCTTAAGTAACACTTTTCGTTTTAAATATTGTTATATATTTTGTGTGTGTGATTATTTTCTCATTTTGTTTTTCTGAGGTGCACTGCAAAAAATCCAATCTATTTCTAGTCCTTTTAATAACACTGATCATCTTTCTTTGAAAAGAGGCTCTTCAGAGGTTTTCAAGGGACTGCACCTTTAATTGTCACCAGTCAAGTCCTTCTCAAATCTTTCCTTCAGGACAGAGATCAATATGGCATCTGTGCCTCCAGTCTACATCATTACACAGTCTGATGGAGAGACCTGGTGCAAGTGGGTGTTTTCAAACCCTTTCTACTCTTTACACTTCTAAATAGATTTTTTAGTGAAAAAGTATGATTAAGGATGAAAAATCGTAATTTATTTTGTATTTGAGCGCAAGTGACATTCACTAAAGAAGTGAGTGGTTTATGGCGTGTGATTCTGAGTGTGTGTTGGCAGTGGTCTGAGCAGTCTGTGTGTCCTTGTGTTTGCACAATGCGGCAGAGGGCGGATAACTAAATCAATAAGAAACAAATGAATTCAGATCAATATCGAGTCAAGTGATGGATAAAAGTGGATGAAGGAGAGAAAGACTGACAAAGGGAAAAGAGAAAATAAAAGATGGGGAATTTGGGGAAACACTTCGATAGCCTCTAAGACAAACTAATGCACTTGTACCTGCAAAAAATTATATGATCAATAAGTTATGACAACATGTTTTTACATTGCTTTAACTCATCACAATAAGTTAAGCTATTTTTAACTTCTTTTATAAGCTATTCAAGATTCAACTAATTCAGTTGAATGTAATTTAAGTTGAAATGACTTAAACATCCAAATTGATTGTACTTAAATATTTAAGGCAGTTGGTGCTTTGCAAGTTTGCTTTACTAATATTTATGGGCTGATAGGCTAATATTTATATGAAAATTTTCATATAAATGATGAAATATATGATGAGCTACATTTTTTTATTTTAGCAATACTATAATACTCCAAAGGTAGGTAAAGGAGATGCCAAGATCTGTGCTGGTTATTCTTTATTTCTCCATATCTCACCCAAGAACTCACCATGGAAACCATGTTTTTCATAAAATGTCCTAGTAACTACAGTAATCATTTGTGGTGTAAAGCATATTCATTAAAAAAAAGTACTGTGTCAGTACCATGGGATCATCGGATGATAATATCCTGGTAATTTTGGATATAACAGTACTGAATTTTCACTATTTTCAATTTTCAAATACTATGGCATTTAGGGTGTTCACAGGGAGGTATGCATCACATGTGGTGTTTGTCAACTCACCTTTGGAGAGAAGTGAAAGTGACCACTAGTAAACACCCATGCTCGACGCGGGACCCGCGTCTTCAGCCAGTGCTGTAAAGGGCGCATGCGAAGCAGACCTAAACAAAGAAACAAAAATTATTAATTTGTTAATGGAATAGTGTTGTCACGTTACTAGAATTTCTAACTTCGATACAATACCTTGAAATATATGGATATTCGATACCATTTTCGATACCACAGAGAAAAAAAAACTGACACAATATTAAATTAAAGGGGTATTTTTTTCATTTAAAGCTAAATATAACCTAACCCAAAGCTAAATTTTCCAACATGCCCGCTTGCTGTGTTCTTTATCAATCAACCAAAGCCAGTCACGGGGTCGCCGCCCTCGCATCTTTCCATTCACTTCACTTACTATTTAACCAGCCAGTGCTGTAAAGGGCGCATGCGAAGCAGACCTAAACAAAGAAACTAAAATTATTAAGTTGTGAATGGACTAGTGTTGTCACGATACTAGAATTTCTAACTTCGATACGATACCTTGAAAATATCGATATTCAATACCATTTTCTTTAATACCATTACCGTCAACTTTTGAACAGTAGTGGATCCAAGAAAACAAAACCGCAAAAGATTGAAACTTAACTATATTTTAACATAATGTTAATATCTTTTCAAACCACAAAGCCCAAATCCATATATCCCTCGCTCACTTCCTCTTTTACACCCATCACTTAGCAAAACCACCTCATCTGTTTGAAATCACCACAGACTCTTAAATATGATTTCATTTGACAATTCCATTGAGGTCCATTGTTCACAGAAACAGTTAAATGCAATATATTTTCATATGAACTTGGATGGAGGGAATGAGTGGATCGCTTCATAAGCCTGGTCACATATCAACACAATTTATTATTTGCTTGCTGCATTACGTGATAAAGCAAAATATATGTGTGTGTGTGTGTGTGTACGCGTTTAAGTGGACATTAAAGGAGGCGGACAGAAACGGATGAAGGGATGGAAATCTATAGTAATTGAACTATGGAATAGTGCAATCAACATTCAGTTAAACAAGTGAATCATGCAGCAGTGGGTGAAAAAGAGAGAACAATGTAGGACGAAGAGAAAAAGGCATGTATATAGTGACAGCAGATTCAGTAGCAACCTGCGTTTTTAAACGTCATAGAGCCTTGAACCTGAAACATAATTATACTTGCTCTTAATTAATTTCTTGGTCTGTGCATCTTATTTCGGTGGCATTTTCAGGATTTTTTGTATTAAAGAATCCACCCCTAATATCCTTTTAAGACAGCTGTAGCCTACTGTTTAATTACGTGGTATTAACGTTTCTTTATTATCGTGGGCAAGCCAATTACAATGCAGTGTATACTTGACCTTGAAACCTAACTCGTGTTATCAAGGTGATAATGGAGTACATAACAACACATGACTATATAATAAACATGTTTACATCATACAATATTCACTACAACCATCTCTCATTATACAGCCACTAATACTATAGTTGTGCACAGAGTAGATAGATCAAATTAATAGACAAAATATTAATTAAAAACACCATGCACTTTTAAACTTTACTTGCGTTCTTATGTAACTGCCATTTATTCCAGTCAAGAAAAAAAAACAGTGATCTGAAAAGAAAATAAGGAGAGAAAATAAACTGTGATATAAAGATCTGACTCATGTATAAATTCAAGGTCTATAAAATCTATATTCAAGACATTCAGCAACAAATCTCAGAACAATTTAATTTAAATTCAATTTAATAACGAGTTAGTGAAATTCAATCAGTACCATCACAATCCAGCATCCTGAATATAAATTCAAAAACATTAGGAATAACTAACCTATGCACACACTGTAAAAATAATTATATGGAAGACGGATGGATGGATGTTATTTGGGTTAACAGCTGTGTCTTGTCTCCAATGCTTGAATTGAATTTCTATGTGTCCAGAGCTCTCTTGAGGGTCTGTTTTGCCACTCAGATCAATACGACTTCAGAGACTGTTTGCACAAAATGAGTGTGAAAAATGTGTTGGAAAAAAGATAGATTGATAAAAGGGATAGTTCAGCCAAAAATGAAAATTCTGTCATCATTTACTTACCCTCATATTGTTCCAAATCTGTATGACTTCTTCTGCAAAACACAAAAGAACACATTTGGAAAAAAATGTCTCAAGTGTTGTTTTGGAACCCAATGTTCTTTAAAATATCTTTCTATGCCCTCTTTGAACTGCCACCTCACCATGGGTACCCGAATGACCCTAGGAGCTATGTTTTCCGGGGCTATATGCCCCTGCTAGGGTCTCCCAATGAAAACAGATCCTATGTGACAGGTCAGACTAAGATCGGTTCAAAAACCCTTTAAGATAAAGTTAAAATTGTGACGTCGCACGGCATGGCACAGCTGGGACCCCACCCTGGAGCCAGGCCCGGGGTTGTGGCTCGTATGCCGGGCCTGAAAGAGCGACTAGGGGATGCCTTCCCATGGCCTCACCACCTGCAGGAGGAACCGTAAGGGGCCGGGGTGCTCAGTGGATCGGGCGGTAGTCGAAGGCGGGGACCTCGACAACCCGATCCCTGGACAAAAGCTAGCTCTAGGGACATGGAGCGTCAACTCACTGGTAGAGCATGAGATTGAGCGTGAGGTTGAGAAGTACTGAGTAGAGATAGTCGGGATCACCTGCACGCACAACATGGGCTCTGGAACCACACTCTTTGAGAGAGGATGGACTCTTTACCACTTTGGAGTTACCCATGGTGAGAGGGGACGGGCTGGTGTGGGTCTTACTTATAGCCCCCCAGCTCAGCCGCCATGTGTTGGGAGTTCACCCTGGTGAACGAGATGGTAATTTCCCTGCGCCTTGGGGTCGGGGATAGGTCTCTCACTGCCGTGTATGTGCCAAATGGCAGTGCAGAGTACCTGGCCTTCTTGGGGGTCTCTGGGAGGGGTGCAGGAAAGACTCTGTCGTTCTACTGGGGGACTTCAATGCCCACGTAGGCAGGGATAGTGACACCTGGAGGGGCCTGATTGGGAGGAACGGACCCCCCTGATCTATCTGAAACTGACCGGTGTTTTGTTATTGGACTTGTGTGCTAGTAACAGCTTGTCCATAAAGAACAAAATGTTCAAGCACTAGGGTGTCCATTAGTGCACTTGGCATCAGGACGCCCTAGGCCGGAGGTTGATGATCAACTTCGTGGTTGTTTATTCCGACCTCTGGAGCTATCAACTGATCACCACATGGTGGTGAGTTGGATCTGATGGTGGGGGAGGAAGCTGGACAGATCAGACAGTCTCCGGTCAGAGAGATCTTCGTCTCCCACCTCTGGCAGAGCTTCGACCGGATCCCGAGGGAGTTTGGAGATGAGTCCGAGTGGATCATGTTCTCCACCTCCATTGTCGACTCAGCAGCAAGGTCTCCAGTGCATTTCGAGGCAGCAATCCCCGAACCCAGTGGTGGACACCGGAAGTAAGGGATGCCGTCAAACTGAAGAGGGAGTGCTAGTTCCCAGTGCCCCGCCAACGCTGTTTACAGTGGAGGTGGGCAGCTGTTGACCTCAACTGGGGATGTCGTCGGATGGTGGAAGGAATACTTCAAGTATCTCTTCAAACCCACCGATACGTCTTCCATTGAGGAAGCAGATGCTGAAAGCTCTGAGGTGGACCCAAGCTGAAGTCACCAAGGTAGTAAAGAAACTCCTCTGTGGCAAGGCACCGGAGGTAAATGAGATGCAACCTGAGTACCTCAAGTCTGGATGTTGCGGGGCTGTCTTGGCTGACACGGCTCTGCAGCAGCACGTGGCGGTCGGGGACAGTACCTTTGGGCTGGCAGACCGGAGTGGTGGTCCCTCTTTTTACTTATCAGCCTCCCCGGGAAAGTCTTTGCCAGGTACTGGAGAGGAGAATATGGCCGATAGTAGAACCTCGGATTCAGGAGGAACAGTGCGGTTTTCCCTCACGGCGCCCTGTGGATGGTGCTCTGGGATTTTGGGATCCGGTGCCTTTTGGTAAGGGCTGTCCGGTCCCTGCATGACCGGAGCAGGAGCTTGGTTCGCATAATCGGCAGTAAGTCAGACTTGTTACAAGTGCATATTTGACTCTGGCTGGGCTGTTCTTTTTTTGCCGGTTCTGTTCATAATTTCTGAAGAAAGAGCTGAGCCGCAAGGACACACTGGAGGGACTATGTCTCCCGCCGGGCCTGGGAATGCCTCAGTGTCTAGGGAGAGGGAAGTCTGGGCATCTCTGCTTAGATTGCTCCCCCGCGACCTGGCCCCCGATAAGCGGAAGATGGATGGATGGATGGATGGATGGATGGATGGATGGATGGATGGTGTTGTTGTTTTGGAACCCAGTGTTCTATAAAATGTCTTCTTTTGTGTTCCGCAGAATATAGAAACGCATACAAGTTTTGTACGTCATTGGTGTAATAATTTTCATGTTTGCCTAAACAATCCCTTTAACAAATTACAATTGAGTATAACAGTAACAAAGAGTATTAATGAAATGACCACAACTGAACGCCAGATTCCCTTCGCATTGTAATACGAAACTGGCCAATCTAATCGTTAGAGACAGATGTGCTGCCCAATTACTGACTGTAGCCCTTTGAGAATGAGAGCTACAAATCAGACACGACCAACAGTACCAGGCACTCTAATGCACCGATAACAGACACTGTCTCTGTGTCTTTGTCTCTCATGACACACACACAAACACGTTTGCATGTAGATGAACATACTGAACTATCTATGCATGCATACCGCTGACACACACACACACACACACTTCAACTCGTTCACACACATACAGTCTCTCTTCTTGTCTCGCTATCCCTCACACCCAACCCCCCAGCACCTCAGGGTTTGAAATTCATGTGCGAAATAAATAGAGAGAGAGAGAGAGAGAGAGAGAGACAGAGAGAGAGACAGAGAGCACATGGGGTATGGCAGTAGGCTGGTGAGGAAAGGAGAGAGGAAAGGGGGAGGGGAGAATCGAGCAGGAAGACAGTGACATATGAGGACAAAAGAGGCAAAAAGAAAGTCAAAAACAAAATAGGGAACCACAGTATCTAATAAAAGAGAGCGC